GATTAAAAGTCAGGTTTGGGGCCTAAAACCCAAGGTCAGACCTGAGCTCAATTTTCTCTAGGGAACTCTGTTCAGCAATCCCTCAAGCTAAGACCATTTGCTTGTCTTCCCTTGAGCCAACAGACAGACCTCAGATCTCCTCCCCAGTGTGCTTCAGTTGCTTACAAATTCCCCATTTACACTCCTTGGATTCCAAGACCTTGTCTCCTGTTTCTGATGGATGTTAAATACAAGTCTCTAGTTTATTGGGACCAAAACTCAACTCCCATGTCAGAACTGTGCACATTCCTCTGATCTGACTTCCAGCCTCATTTCTGATGCTCATCATCTCCTCTGTGCAGGTGTTTGAGGCTTACATGCATCCAGAATCCCTTCTTGTTTATAGCAGGACTGAGTTCAACTCTCTCCATCCATCATCTTCCTGGAAGAAGAAATACCTCTGTCCATTTAGTCATGTGGTCACCTCCCAAGAAACAGTTTCAGAGTAATCTGTGGCTATGTATACAGATCCAAAACACATTAGTGAATTGAAGTATTTGTCCAGTAATCCAGATGTTTCCATCTACACAGCACCAAGGGTTCAGATGCATTTGTTCAGTTCATCTGGCATTTGAAAATATAACAAGCTCACATTACTAAGTGTACAGTTATTTCACAAGTCCAGGAATCCCATGGGTATCATATTGTCTCTTATTTGCAGAGACTCATGTTAGAGTACATAACTTTCCTTTGAACATGTTAAAATGCTGTCATTCTCTTTTTTATTTTTTCTCACATGCACATGTATGTGATGTGTGCATATGTGTATACTTGTTTGATTGCATGGACACATGTAAGTGTGCACAAGTATGTGGGAATGGAGGCAGGACTCTGACATTGGAAGACTTCCCCTATCACCCTCTACCATATTCACTGAGGCCAGGTCTCACTTGCCCCTTAGGCTAGTCTCGATAGCAGGCTTTATTGAGAGGCCCCCTATCTCTGTCTCCTGAGTGCTTGGATTACCAGTTGGTGGCCATGCCCTGTTAGCATTAATGTGGGACCTAACAAACTCTGGTCCTCATATTTCCATGCCAAGCAATTTAGTCATTGAGCCATCCACAGCCAAATAATCCTATCTCACTGCTCTTATTCTTTTCACAATGCAAAACTGAAGTCAATAAGCAGTTATCAAACTCCTAGATAATAAGATTAGAAGAATTTGAAAAAACACTCCCTCCCTTAGGAGTGTTAAAATATAACTGTGTTCATTCATCCCCTCATCAATTTTTTTATTAAACACATAGTATATTCTTGAGGAAATGGCAATGAAACAAAAAAACATAACTCATGCCCTCATGGAGCAGACCACTTAGGAGAACTGGAGAAAAACATTAATTAGGGACTAGTAACAGAATTCAATGATAGAGCACCTACCTAGCATGTGTGGAACCCTGGGCCAATTGTTGTGATGGGACATTGAATGCAAGCTTAATTGAGTTTGGGGGAAACTCTTGAGAAGGACATAGTCTGTGGCCTGAATGATCAGAAAAGCAGTACAGAGAAGAGAATTCCAGAGGAGGAACTATGAGTGCATCTGTGAAAGACCCAAGACCAAAACAGCTCAAAGGTGGAATACAAAGATTGTCACATGAAGACACAGCCCAAATCTTGTCTCAATAGGGCAGGGTTTGACTTGGATTTTCTTCTAAAGGCAGTGATGTGCTATTGGGGTGTTGTAACAGGAATGACATGAAAAGATGTCTGGCTGCTGGGTGCAAACAGGGTTGAAAGAGGATGAATATGGGAAAGGACAAGTGAATTATGGTTTGCGTAGGTAGAGAGACTAGTAGTACAGGATAATATGGTTAATAATTGTTAATAATAGTGTAGAATAATATGGTTAATAATAATAATTGACACAGAGAGGCATGGATACCCAGAGAGAGGTGCTATGGAGTTGTAATCAGCAGGATGTGGACATGAATGTGGCTCGTGAGGGAGAGGAGCAAGTTGAGGTCAACTCTGACAAAAGTAGCTGGACATGAGGGACCACTCACTCAGATGGTGTGGTGGCTTGACTCCACCCAATTGGCCAGTCTGTGGAATGTTTTCTTGGTTGCTAATTGATGGAGGAAGGTCCACTGTGGGTGGTGCCACTTCTGAGCAGGCACATAGTCCTGGGTTGAATAAGAAAGCTAGGTGAACAAGCCTAGGGGAGAAAGTCAGCCAGCCGTGTTTCTCTATGGTTCCTGCTTCAGTTCCTGCATGCAGGTTCCTACCTGGAGCTCTCTTGCCTTGGTTTCCCCCAATGATGGGCTGTAACCTGTAAGCCAAATAAACCTTTTCCTTCCCAAGTCAGTTTTGGTCAGTGTTTTAACACAGTAACAGAAGGCAAGCTGGTACAGAACTAGAAATAACCCTATTTCTGGGGAAAATTTGCCTCATTTTCTAGATATGCTAACTTTGAGGTATCTATGAGACTTTCCCAAAGAAGTGTAAAATGGAGTTTAGGAAAGGTAAATGAAGGCACAATCAGAGACATTGAGTGTAGTTGACATGCAGAACCATGGAGAGGGGCTAAGATTACCCAGATAGAGGCTGTGGATAGAAATAGGCACTAGCTTGTGACATAGGGAAACTATTCACAGCTAGACAGGAAGCAGAGGTGATAAACACCTCAAGAACCAACCAGCGAGTAACCTAAATTCTGTCTTCCATTTGTCATCTTATTTGGGATGCAAATATGTCCACATAGAGCAAAAGGTTCATGGCTGGCTGGGATGTCTGGAGCCTCCCAAATAGGCTCAGACCACCTGCTGGTCTGAATCATGAGCCTGTAGACTAGCCTCCTCTGCATTCTCTTGGTGCAGGCCATAAAGGATCTGGAAAGACACCGTGGATAGCCAGGGCCGAAGCAGGCTCCTCTTGATCTGTTGCTTCAAAGACTTAACAACTTGGACAGTGTGAGTGCTATCGGCCTGCAACCTCATCTCTACAAAAGGCATGTGTGCATATGTCTACATATGTACCCAGTGTGTTCCTGTGCATGTGTTTATGTACATTTAAGAGACCCTGAAGTGGCACACAGCAAAATGTTAATAACGCTTGTCTCGGGGAAGAGACTTATCAATGACTGCTTTATCTCCTTTTCTTTGCTTTTTCATATCTATCCATTTTTCTACATGTGTATATATGTGCATGTGTGTGTATGTGCACAGTCTTGATATTCAAACTCCTGATATTTCTGCCTCAACATCCCTAATTCGGGTGTAGGCCACTATATGGCTGGCTTTAATGTCGACTTACCATAAATTAGAATCACATGAGGAGGGAGCCGCACCTGAGAAGTGTCATGGTTGTCTGGATGGATGTGGGAAGCCCCATTCTAATTGTGGACAGCACCTTCAGGGGCGTGGCAAAAGGAAGTCCTCTAGCCTTTCTCAGGATTGACTTCCCTCTAGTTGGGACATGATTTGCTTTCTTCCTGCTGTTTCCTTCACTGATGGCAGAACCATCAAAAGATGTCCATGGGTGACTCCTCTGATGGCTGAGCATCCAGACTCACAGAGTAACTGGACCACCTGGCTCTCAGGTGCGATTCAGCTGTTCCTGGCTCTCAGTTCTCAGGTGTGACTTGGCCATTCCTGGCTCTCTCAGATGTGATTCTTACTACTTTAAAGCTCACTTAATAAAATCTGATTATATATATATATGTGTGTGTGTGTGTGTGTGTGTGTGTGTGTGTGTGTGTGTGTGTGTGTGTGTGCCCTATTGGTTCTGTTTCTCCAGAGAACCCTGACTAATACAGCCACCATGACAAGCTTTTACTTGAATGGCAGATTTCTTACAATGAATTCATAGCTGTAGGCTTGGGAGTTGTGGAGTGGCACATGTGTCCCTGTTTTTGTTTTTGTTTTGTTTTGTTTAGAAACAATCTTATTTTACATATCAATACCAGTTCCCTCTCCCTCCCATCCTCCAATGGCCCCACCGACTCCCCCATCCCACCTCCCACCAATTTCCCAGGGAGGGTGAGGCTTTCCATGGGGGATCATGAAAGTCTGTCACATCTGGGCTGAGTGAGTAGTCCTCCATGGTGTCCCTGTTCTTACACTACTGCATTGCCAGATGCCAGTGGGGCAGGGGGTTCCCAGAGTCTGGTGGTGGCACCATACCACACCTTAGGGATGGTTCTCTGGGTCCTCATTCTCACTAAACTAACCATAAATAAATCCACAAGGGGCTAGCTTGCTGGCACTGGAGCACACAGCCCCTCCATTGTCAAGCTTTTCTATTCAATCCAGATAGCTATATGTTTTCTGCTTGCTACCTCAGGCTACAAAGAAACCGACAAAGCTCCAACCACCCCTCCTCCATCAAAGCAAGAGCCCATCTTGGGCTCTACATACTTATCAGTGGCTCTTAGGTGCCCTTCATGCCCCCACTCAACCTGAGTCTCAGAAATAAATGAAAATAACTAATGGTCTTTCCTAGATAAGCCCACTGAGATACCCAAAACACACTGATATAATCACTACACATATACCCAAAGGGGCACACCTTGCCCCTAAAGGTGTCCATTTGGTATCAAATGGGCCTCAAACAGCTGGCTTTACATATATGGTCTTAATTACCACAATAACCCAACAAGAGCAGAAATATTAGCCTCCGGTTTATGGATGGGGAAACTGGGGCTCACAGAAGGTAAGGAAGTAGCTCAAGAGCATATGGGGGTAGAGCAGTGCTGGAATCTGAACCCTAATTCCTGAAGTCATGTGTGTATTTCATTTCCTGACATGTGCTTCCATTTTCCTGCAAAGAAATGGCTTTATGATGATGCATACATCTTAAGGACCTTTGTTAGCAGGGAATTCTCCCAGGGAACAAACTGGACTGGCCCCTTCTCTTGGGCTTTCTCTCCTTCCCACTTCCCACTGACACACCCCACAAATGCACTTGAGTGTACACACTCACCTCATACATGTAATAATCATGGAATAATTGCTTTTTTTTTTAAGGGCCTAGTGGACTGCAGAAGAGCCCAAGGGAGACACCGGCACAGATAGGTGCTGCCTACCCACTACTCTGGATTGAGGGCTGAAGATCTTCTCTGGAGTTGAGACCCTTCCCCTGTTTCTTGACTTCGGGTTCAACAATCATTACCATACCTCCTAGCCAGCAACAGCCGTCCCTGGATGGTCATTTCAAAGACCCTACTGCACATAAAGTAGTTTCTCAGGAGGACGAATTTTGATAAGCCAATACAGGACTCACATGGATATGTGGTCTCTCTCTTCAGCATGGCCATAGCCTCCATCTGTAGGATCTGCCATGGACTCAAGGACAAGGTGGTGGAAGGGGATCCCGGGACCCTGGTGCCTGCATCTGAAAAACCAGAGGCAAACATATGTAAATGTGCGGGCACTGCACAGTGCCAATCTTCCAGCCAACACCACCTCACAGATGAACTAAAATAATTGCTTGGACTCGGTTTTTGAAACTTAACATCGAGCCCATACACAAATATTAGCCTAGTCAGTCCCCTCCCCCTCCCCAGCCACCACAGGTTTACTTATATAAACAAATCATGTTCCCCAAGAAGGAGGCTGGAGCTGACACAGGCCATTGTTGGGAAGGCAATTACCGTAATGAGGGAAAGCTAAGTGAATGGAAGGCTGCTCCAGCTGCTTTGTTGATAGAGGGTAATAAGGGTGCTGCCTGAGCACAGAGTTAATTTGCACTTTTCTCCACAAGCCTGGTGCTGCCCAAGCCACAACTACCCTTAGAACTGAAGCCCAGCTAATTACTCATGTTAATTACCCAGCCCCAGGTCAGATCCTGTGGCTGGTTAAAGACAGTGAAAGGCTAGGCGGCCACGATTCTTGCTTAGAGCCGTGCAGAGGCTATGGCTGGATGTGTAAATCTCTCTGATTGGTGCACACCCTCCTTTAAGAGGCATTAACTCTGCAGGGGACTAAGTTTCCTGAGAGCACCATACCCTGCTCCCTCCTCGGGTCTCTTGAGATCCCTCGGGATTTTCTCCACGAGTTCTATTTTCTCTGTATAGAACACGCTAATGGGGAAAATGTTCACAAACATAACTAAACAAATTAGATTAATAATTAACAAGCTGGGTGTGTTGGTGTCCATCTGTAATCCTAGCACTCAGGAAGCAGGAACAGGAAGATTTGAGTTCACTGCTAGCCTATCTCCAAAAAGAAGAAAAAACCCAAAGCCAAATGGTTCCACCCTGTATGATGTTTCCATTTACATAATATTCTGGAAAAGGCAAAACCATAGGGAACTGTGCCGACCAGAGGTTGCCAAAGGTGGGGGTGGTAGTGAGAGCTGACCACAAAGGGGGATCATGAGGGAATTTGGGGGGACAATGGGCTCCTCTGGATATGATCATGGGATATGTATATCATGTGATATACATTCAGCAATGTTATACACGTGTCAAAACCTGTAGAGATGTCCTCTGCAAAGAGTGAATTTTGTTGTGTTACTGTATAAAGTTACAGAGAAAAATGTAAGAAGATATGGTAAGATTTGCTCTCAGTTTTTACGACGGCAATTCGAAAGTTTGTCATTGCTGCTAGATGCTGCTAAGATATCTTTTTCCAACAAAGAAAATCTTTGAAATTCTAGCCCATGAAACCAAATGTGGGAAGGGGAGGCTTGGCTTGTCCCACTCATGTGTAATGAGTGTCCTGTCTGAACTGCTTCTGAAATGATAAAGCAGGTGTGGACTCCCTCACACTCACATACCCATGTTAAACTTTGTCTACAAAATCAGGGTAGCAAAGACCAGAGCAATTTTCCACCAAGACCAGTCAAGTCCTAATCTCCATGACGCCAAAATACTTGGCGGCAAAATAGAAAGTGCAGCCAGTTACCAGATGTTTTGTCTCTCTGTACCCTTCCAGTCTATGTGACTGATCCGAGACAGGTTTCAGATTGTGTAGCTGGTGCCAGGGAGACGCCATCACCATTGGCAGCTCTCCGTAATGATACATTTTCCGAGTGGTTCCGCAGCAGCCTTCACTAGGGCAGCAGGGGCCTGAAGTTCTCTGTCTCCTCGTGTCAACAGCTGTTGTCTGAAAAGACAGACACATCACTGAATCCATGATGAATTACAATATGCCCCTCACTTTTCTCCTTTAGGAGGTCTGCAAAGAACTCCTCTCAAAGGCTTGCAGCAAGGCAGCCATACCACAGTGGTTATTCACTATTGCAGCCCCTGAAAAGCTCCCGTTTCCAGGTAAGCATACCAGAGCTGATAGATAGTTTGCATTCATTTCTGAGGTTGAGGACTTAATCAACAGGGTAAATATTCCTCAAGTTCACAAGTCCAACGACAGCAACTGAGTAGGTTCTTGTGGCTTTGCTGGGGATTATCAGGTTAGGGCTGATCGATGGATGTGAGAAAGCACAGTTTAGCTACATATGTTTGTTTTTGTTTTTGTTTTCCTTGTTGGGAATATGATCAAATATTAAGAAGCTTACATGTTTATGGCTGGCAGGGGGCAGGCACACCTTTTTTGTTGCAGAAGCAAAAGAAGAGAGACAGAGGATTCCAGGGACTGCTCTTCCGGCCACAGTGAGCCCTGCTACTGCAGGTGATTGAGGGAGTCATATTCTAGGAGAGCCCTTCCTCGGCTTCTAGAACCACAAGCTCTTGGGGCAGCAGAGTCTTAAACTGGCCCTGGTTAGTTTTTGTTTTTTTTTTTTTAATTCAAAGACAAAAGAATACTAAGGTTAGCATAAAAGAAAAAAAGACAACAGAAAGGAGTTTTATTCAAGGGAATACATAGAGTCTAGAATCAAAATAGCAAACAAACACAAAACAACAACAAAAACCAACAGCTTGACTCAACCCTACCCTTTCTGCCTCACTATGTTTGCTTGTTCCCTCCAATATCTCCTGAGAATAAACCCATGGGGGTGGGGAAGTAAGACAGCTCAGTCAGTAAACTGCTTGCCAAGCATGAGGACCCAAATTCAGGGCTTGTGTAGAAAGCTGGGCACAACAGTACTTGTGTGTAAGTAACTCCACGATGGGAAGGATGGAGACAGGGGCAGACACAGGAGCATCCCGGGGACTCACCAGGTCTAATGGAACTGGTGAGCCCCAGATTTCAGTGAGAACCCCTGTCTTAAAATGTCAGATGGACAGCAATTGAGGAAGACACCCATCATCGACTTTTGACCTTTACACGCACATTCACCTGTTCTCATACACAACACACACACACACACACACACACACACACACTCCTCACCTTTCAGAGGCTTTGACATTTCAGCCTTCCCTAGCCTGTCAGGATTCCTCCATTCCTTGAGCTTCAAAACCCTTGGAAACTTGTTGCTTCATCCTGAAGTTCTTATTTCCAAAGGCCCAAAGAAACTATGATTTGTTGAGTTCATTTTTGTTTCATGCCAGGCCTTATTACATTGTCAGTGTCAGCCAGTGAGTTGACAGCCCTGGTGCCAGAGGCCAATCCAAACTGCTGAGTCTGAAATAAAATAACAAGGATCCAATTGACAACCTCTTAAGAAAATGAGAGAGGGAGAGAGACAGAGAGACGGAGAGAGAGAATGACAAATATTCACAGATCTTCTGATTGTTCAACAGCGGTCAGAAATCTTATATTTTATGTAAACTCTCCAAACAATATTGGCTCAAATTTCATAAATGGGACAAGGACAGAGGGAACAGCAAAAATGTCTCTTTTCCACAATCAACTGGATGACCCTCAGGGCCCACCTCTCCTGAATAAGCAGCAGGGAGGGGACATTATCAGTCTTAAAGGAAGACAGCTCTGATCATTTAAGATTCTGTCATGGGCCATAAGGTGGTGGTGTCACATGCTTTAATCCCAATACTCAGGAGGCAGAGACAGGTGGATCTCTTGAGTCTGAGGCCAACCTGCTCTACAAAGCAAATTCCCAGGCAGCCAGGGCTATACAGAGAAACGCTGTCTCAACACAAAACAAAACAAAAGGATTCTGTCATGGGGGAGATGGGAGCTGTAGTGCAATGGCAGAGTGCACTAAGACTGTGAGCAAAGCCCAGCACCGATAAATAAAGGAAATTAAGTTAAATCCCTTCATCATTTGTGACTCTAAAGCCATCTCCCTTCTGGCATGAGGGAAAAATTTGAAGGCCTATTCACCCAATATGCCTGAGGACACACCCTGTTGACACACCTGCTTCTCCTTCCATTTCTTCACAAACCCCTCATGGGATTAATCCCCTTCACCATCCTGCTTGCCCATCTCTGATTACCCAATTCATTAATGTCTCATTCTGGTTGTGGGAATTCGGGTCTATCTTAATCATCCAGGCTGCTATAACAAAACACTCTAGACTGGGTAACTTGTTTTTTTCTGAGGCAGGATTTCTCTGTACAGCAGCTCTGACTGTCCTGAAACTCACTTTGTAGATCATGATGCCCTTGAACACACAGAGATCCCAAGTACTATGATTAAATATGTGTGCCACTATTGCCCAGTTTAGACTGGGTAACCTTTAAACAACAGAAATTTATTTCCTGGCATTTCGAAGGCTGGGGAACTCACAGAGGTATTTCAGATTTGCTGTGTCTACCCCTAGATGGGACTTTTTTTTTCTTTTTCAAGACAGGTTTCTCTGTGTAAAACCCCTGACTGTCCTGGAACTCACTCTGTAGACCAGGCTGGCCTCTCCCCCTCCCCCCCCGAGTGCTGGTAATAAAGGTGTGCACCACCACTGCAGATGGGACTTCTTAATGAGCCCTATAAGGGGACAAAAGAGACAACCTCTTTTATAAGGGCACTAAATCCCAGTAAGAGGGGCAGTGTCACCAGGCAGTGATGGCGCATGCCTTTCATCCTGCAGTCAGAGGCAAAGGCAGGTGGATCTCTGTCAGTTTGAGGCCATTCTACAGAACACGTTCCAGAAAAGCCAGGGCTACAACGCAGAGTCTACATGTCTTAATTATCTCCCAAGAGGTTCTTAGTGCTACTATATGGCAGGGGCTGAACCCAGAGATTGTAACATGTTCTCAACTTGAAACATCATACCTCTAATGTAACTTAAAACTGGAGTCTAGGTAACAAGCTCATACCACCAATTCCTACAGTGTATAAACAAGCTCAGCAAGATGTGGTATTAATTTGTGGGTTACTTTTCTCCTGACTACTTACTAAGAGGGATTTTCTTTTCTCCTTTCCCTGGTGAAGTGGGGTCCTTTGAAATCTGAGTAAATAAAGGCTGAAGAGGCAGTTGGTAAAGTGCTTGCTGGACAAGCACAGTGACCTGAGTTTGATCCCCTAAACCCCTGTGAAAAAACTCTGGGCACTATGGCCTGCACCTGTAATCCCAGTGCTGGGGAGGCAGAGACAAACAGATCTCCAGGACTTGCTGGCCAGCCAGCATCGGCAAATCAGCAGACTCTAGGTTCAGTGAGGGACTCTTAAAAATCAAAGTGAAGAGCAATTGAGGAAGATGCCTGACATCCTCCTAAAGCCTTAACACACATATGCACACATCAACTTTCATGTCCATTATTCTCACTAAGCCTCATCCTGGGAGTTGTCACTCAGTCCATCAGTGAGTGTCTCCCTGAAGCCCTCCCAATCTTGTTGCTTTCGTGCAACATGTTAACTCACCCTGATAGCATCCTCATTGGCTACTCACACACACATCTCATGCCACAGGCATGGCAATGTGGCAGTCTTATTGGGATTTTCAATTTCTTCTCATTCTTTCTTTGCTGTTTCCCTCACATCACCAGGATTTCATTCCGTTCTTAAATCTCAGTGTTTCTCCCTCCCCACCCCCACCCCACAGTTTCTTTGCATGCCCTGGGAGTCTGCTTTTTCCATGGGAGCTTTGAAGACTCTGCATCTGAAGTTCAGGGTATATATCTGGGTGTTCTGTACATCTCTTCAGAGTGAGACAAATAGGCATTTTCTCCTCGCATCCCATCTCTGCATCTCCCATCAACGGTCCTTTGTTGAACAGAATTAAGTTCCCAGCAATAGTTTCCGGCATTGCTCCTTCTGGCTTCTGAGAATTAAAACAGTCAGCATGATCTGTTTTCAGCTATGATGGAGCGGATGATATCAGATTAATTCCCTACTGAGAACAACTATAACGCTGGATTAAATACAAAGGCCAACTGTGGGAAGGCCCTGGAAAAAAACCAAAGCAGCGAAGGCCCCACAGAGGACAAAATCCTCAAGACACAAGAAATGTATTGACAAATGCCTAACATTCAAGGCACAGACCTCACAACACTACACACAGCCCAAAGATATAATACACATGCATACTGTACACACCAACTCATATCATACGCACCCCACCACACCATACAATCCCTATCACAGCATACACACTCCCCCACACCATGCATACCCACAGACATAAAATATACACACACACACACACACACACACACCATACACACCACAGCACACATATCCCATCATGCCATACGCACTGCACCCATACTACACACACTCCACCATACCCATACTATACATACTACACACACACACACACACAGAGAGAGAGAGAGAGAGAGAGAGAGAGAGAGCAAGCATATACACTGTGCTGACTAGCTTTATGTCAACTTGATACAAGCTAGAGTTATCTGAAAGGAGAGAACTCAACTGGAAAAAAAAATGCCTCCATAAGATTCCAATGTATGTAGGACATTTTCTTAATTAGTGATTGATGGGGGCAGGCCAAGCCCATTATAGGTAGTGCCATCTCCCTGGGATGGTGGTCCTGGATTCTATAAGAAAGCAGGTTGAACAAGCCATGAGGAGCAAGCCAGTAAGCAGCACTCCTCCATGGCCTCTGCATCAGCTCCTGCCTCCAGGTTCCAGCCCTGTCTGAGTTCCTGTCCTGATTTCCTCCAATATGAACAGTGATGTGGAAGCATAAGCCAAATAAACCCTTTCCTCCCCAACTTTATTTTTGGTCATGGTATTTCATTGTAGCAATAGAAAAATTAACTATCACATGCACACACACACACACACACACACACACACACACACACACACACACACACACACACACACACACACTGCTGACTTCTCGGTCATGTGTTGCTGACCTGGTATCACAGGTCAAGTTCCTTGACACCAAGACTGAGTGAGCACCATGCACTTGGGAAGTCCTTATAGAATCAACTTCTATGGAAGGGAGAGGAAGGAAATAGGACTTTGGAGGCAGCCTCTAACGATGCTGCAAGAGAGTTCTGGAGCTGGAGAAACCCTTTATTATTCTCCAGAGTCAGTGCCGGCATTAGATGCTAAACGGAGAAAGAACCATGGCTGCCCTGACCACAGGAAAGGGAAAATTTTCCTTCAGGAGAGAAAATCCCCAAAGAGAGGCAGCCAAGTGGCAGCCAAACAACTGAGGTCATGGGGCCTTCACTCTTGGGGGATTTTGACTGTGATTCATAGCAGCATCATACCGAGGGCTCAAGGTTTTAATCTGGTTTCTCCAGAAGTAAAACCAACTTGGAAAGCTAGAAGTCCCACTCTCTGCTTTGGCAAGCTAGAGATCCGGGAAAGTGGTAGTGAAGTTCAGGTGTGTCTACTGGGCAGACACCATCTGGGTGGGACAGCAAGGATGATGGTTACAGTGGTGCTAGAAGCCCTGGATCAACACTGAAACCTTGAGAGCCAAGCACACCGACTACACTTACTCTACTTCTGCCCTTTGTTCCATTCTGACCTTCCATGGTGGGCTGTATGATACCCACCCACATTGGCAAGGCAACCTTCATAACTCAGTGTACCCATTCACATGCTAATCTCAGGAACACTCACTCACATAGCCAGAAAGAAAGCTGTGTGTCTCTCTAGGCATCCCTTTATCCAGACACAAAATTAACTGTCACAGAAGCCAAGCAGAATTCACCCACTGAGGGATTAAAAGCTAATCATTAATTTCCCATTGTCTGACAGTGCTAGAAAAAAAAAAAAAAAACAAGTTCAGGGTGTGCCATGAAAGAAGGGCACAAATAAACACTCAGGCTTCTAGCTGAGGCTTTGGAAAAGAGAAAAACCTAAGGTAACTGTGGTAGTTATTTTCTTCACTGATGTGGAGAGAAAGGATTTATTGAGGCCCAAGATTTAATGATATAGTCTAGAGTGGGTAAGGCATGGTGGCAGGAGAGTGAGGTTGCTTGCTCATACCTTTTTGTCACTGTTTAGTTTGTTCAAGACAGGATCTCACTGTGTAGCTCTGGCTGTCCTGGAACTCAGCTCCGTAGACCAGGCTGGCCTCAGACTCACAGAGATCAGCCTGTCTCTGCCTCCCAAGCGTTGGGATTAAAGGTGTGTGCCACTACACCTGGTTTGCTTGTTCACACCTTGATGGACCAGAAATCAGAGAGAGAGGAAAGCCCACACTTGCTTGGTTCTCTCTGTCTTTACCTTTATTAACTTTGGGCCTCTGGACTGTGGGATGGTACCACCCATATTCAGGCTGGACCTACCCTCCTCA